AAAAAAAAAAAAAAAAAAAAATGTTTTTACACTGTCAGGTTATGTTTTATTTTATCTAAGTCGGGTTTATCGAATAAAATCACTCAATGCTTCTTAGGTAATGGGGTGGGCTTTTGCTAATGGGGAGCACATAACGAAGGAGCATTTGATCGTCTATTGGCTTGCGCCCGTTGAGGCCACTTTAGCTGCAGTTTGGGTGTTTGGTATACTATTTCGACCTGAGAAGTATGAGCCATCAGCTGCTAGAAAGAACGACTCCCCAGAGCTGAAGTCTGAAAAATCTGATTGAAAAGATCGTTCTTTTTTTTCTTTTTTTTGTTTTCTTTGGGGGTGTATTAGATATTTGCAACGAAATCAACTTAGGTGAATTTGTAAAATTGCTCAGCCATAAAAAGGTTGGCTTGAATTGTAGGCATTGTAGAATGTCATATACAGTAAGTTCTGCTTTTGTAGTCTTCTGTTTTTTCACTCCCCTGATAAATGGTTGGTTTTGTTTTTGGAGTTTTTGTTCATTCAAGTTGCATTGCATTTGAAGGGAACTTTTTGTATTTAGGATGAGAATTAGCGAAGATCTGTTTCACTCTATCGAAACCATTGTATCATGAGATACTCCGAACAAATTATAGATATCAATTCAAAAAATATCTCCTTTCCCCTATATATAATTCTCGAATGCGCTGAGCCTACGTGGCTGCTTCTAGTGTTTCGGAATTTTACTTGGCGAAGAATCATGCTTCATAATTAGGTTTGGACAAATAATATTGATATATTAATAATTAATAATCTAAGTTTGGACATTTTATAAATAATATTTAGCTAACTTAGGTATTTTAATATCACTTGTACTAATATAACCCTTTAATACATAGTGAGGCACTAAGTGACTAATATATCCCTAACTTTTGATTTGTTTCCTTCAATTAGCTATTGAATTGTAAATTTATTTTAAAAGTTGATAATTTTTTTATTTCTTATCGGTTTTACATATATAATATATCAAATTAATCATCTTTTGATGATCTTCGATTTGACATCCATATGATATATATGAAATCAATAAATTATATTTATCTTTATAATAATAAATAATAATAATATTTATTAAAATTTATTAAAAAAATAAAATTATTTCTCAATTAATATATTTATACTTAATGTAGTTATATTTACAAGTTAAAAAAGTTATTATAATATAACACAGGTAAGTCGCACAAATAAAACATGTCATACTAAATATATAATAATATATATATATATATATATTTATTAAAGGTATTTAAATTTTCAATTAATTTTTCTTATTATTTTAG